GCGGATAGATCCCACCTCCTCCAATTTCACCTCGACAAGATGAGATTCTCCGGAATAGGTGGTGATAGTCCGATACGTTGGTCTCTTCTGTCGCTTCTGCAGATTTGGATCAGGGGTCGGCCAGAGATCCCCTCTGTGTGGAAGAAGATAAATCACAATTTTCATCAACTGACGTCACATGAGCGCGCATCTCTCCGTCGCATACTTTGGTTTACTCCACCGAAAATATATTGAGCACGCGGTCGACCATCGGATCTATAACCGCACCAGAAAACGTGATACCACACCCCAGAACACCAAAAAGAATAGCCATGACAGACTTCACGGAGTCCAGAACGGCTCCGTTCTATTCCATCCCCGCTCGCCGCATGGTCAGCGTGGAACATCCTGCTATCATCAAAAATGTCGACAAAGCCCTTGATACCCTCCGCGGCGATGCAGGTATCACGCGAGTAAGCAAAATAGCCCAACAGTACAAGACACCACTCTCTGACAATGCAGACTAGATCCTCAACCCTCCCAAGGCGGACAGCCCGGCCAGGCTCTTCCTCCGGTCGGAGGATGCCATGTCCAGACCGATGAAGTCGATCAGCTCGACGGCCAACAACATCCTGGTCAAGGTCACGGTGCCCAAGCGCACAGGTCGCAAACGCAAGAAGGGCTCCGATGAGCTGTTCACCGGGGTTCCCATCACCACGGGGCATGTGGAAGCTCCGCGACACAGCGCGCGGGAAGTGCTGCAGAGCCTTCGCGACAACGTCGGGAGGTATCAAGTTGAGCCGGTAGGGATGATCGAGCGGACGCATGTATTTCGAGGTGAGAACTTTTCTGCTCTATGGAATTTATCGACAGGCACTAAACGAAGTTAGGAATGCCGGATTTTGTCTACTCGACGGCATCGAGCGCATTTGCAAAGAAGTTCCGCGAGCATATCTTGCCGTTCGACTGTAAGCCGTTGCGCCCGCCTCCCAAGCACATGAAGATCCAACTGACCCTCCAAACAGACGAGAGGATGAAGCAATTTGACCTAGACATGACCAAAGGCATCACCTCGAACGTGGACATTATCCCTCCACCCTCGTTCAGCCACGGTGACCTGCCCTTCAACTACATGTAAGCTCTCCCCTCCCCCCCAATCCTCCCCCAAACCAAAACTAACACCCCTTCCCAAGCTACCGTCAAAACCCAACGATGCAAAAGTCCATCGACACCACCGGCAAAATCACAACCGTGAACACCCAACGCACGGTCAAAGTGCACACGCACCTAGTGCCCTACGACATCCCCGAAGTCCCCACCCAGCCACGGGACAACTGCCCCCCGATCTCGACTCTCGACCCAACGCTCCAAGAAACCATCACGATCCTCCAAGGCCTCTTCAGCGAGCGACCTGCCTGGACGCGACGGGGGCTACGCAACGCCCTGCCGACCGTCGAGAAGCGGTACGCCCTACGCCACGCGATCCCCTACGTAGGCTACGTCTTCCGGTCAGGGCCGTGGCGCGACGCGATCATCCGGTTCTCGCACGACCCGCGCAGCTCACCCGAGAACCACATCTACCAGACTCTGATGTTCCAGATCCAACCGCGGGACGCCGACGTCGCGCGCGACGGCTACTTCGGGGCCAGCAATCCCGTAACCAACAACAACAACAACAACAAGGACGGCGCCCGGCGGCACGCCTACTTCCGCCCCAACGAGGTGCCGCAGTTCGACCCGACCGCCTCCTTCCACAACCAGCTGCACCACCAACCGGGCCAGCTGCCCACGGACACCCACCTCTTCACGGGGCAACCGCCGCTGGCCCGCGACGGCCGCATGTGGATGTACTGCGACATCCAGGACCCGATCCTCCGCAACATCCTCTTCCCGGCGGGGGACGGAACCCCGCCGCCGCAGGGCTTCCTCCGCGACCAGTGCGACGTCCTCACGGACGGGTGGTACGGGAACGGCACCCTGGCCAAGTTCAAGACCATCATGCGCCACAAGGTTTTGGGGCTGCTCGACGACCGCGCCACCGACGACGCCGAGTTCGAGCAGATCCTCACCCTGCCGGACTACGCTACCCCGGAGTCCATCAATACCGACTTCTGGTTGGATCCCGCCACCGCTACCTCCAAGAGTACCATGATGGCCACGGAGATCCGCGCCATCATCAAAAGTGCGCCGGCGTTTCGGGAGCGGGCCGCCGCGGATAAGCGGGCGGGTAAGAGACGGAGGGGTCGGGGGATGGCGACGAGGAGGAGCGCGGCGGGGCGGCGGGTGCAGTTCCGGGAGGATGTGGTTGGTGGGGAGGAAGAAGAAGAGGTGGAGGAGGACGAGGAGGAGGAAGAGGAAGAGGAGCAAATAAATACACAGGGAATGGAGGTCGGGGAGGAGATGGGTGAAGGGGAGGAAGAGGCTTATGAGCAGGAGGAGTTGTTGGAAGCCCAGGCGGCGGAGGCGGCCGCTGCGGTGTCTGCTGCAGTTGAGGAAGATGAGGATGAGGCGGATGAGGATGACGACGAGGGCGAGAGTGAGCAAGATGAGGACATTGATACCTTCAGATGAGTACGACTTTCTGGGAGATGAAATACAAATGAAGTACACAGTTATATCACCTATTTTCAGTTTGTATCAAGTTTCATTTATTGGAGCTAGCTAAATTTATTCTAAGTTTAAGTAGATGGTAGAGGGTAGGGGGTTCGTATAAGACATTAGACGGCATGACGCATTCTCTAGCCATTAGCTGATACATGCAGACACAGGCGTTCATCGAGTTATGAGCGAGGGAAAGAGTTAGTAATAAGAGCTGTCCAGCCTCGGATAAATATAAGTCGCGCGGTGTAGGTAGTATGGTCAAGGTAGACGAGAGAAGGTGGGCCTGCGAACGCGAAGGAGCACAAGGGGAGGGTTGCTGAGTCGTGGTGATGTAGGTCGAATAGGAAGAGATCAACATAGAAAAAGAAATCAGAATGACAGTAGCCAGTAGGGTATCCGTATAATGCAGTGCACTCTCGAGCTTTCCAGACGCCAAAACAATAAACAACCAAATAACAACCAATGAAACACCCTTTTTGCGATGCAATGCGCGCATCAAGCGCTAACGAATGACTCAGCAGCTGCTTCGTCTGCCTCAGCTGCTTCTTCCGCAGCACTTGCGCTCTCCCAGATCTCAATTTCAGCCTCCGTTGGCTCCGGCTTGGCGTTGGTGATAGCCTCCGCTGGAAGGGAGGCCTCGAGAAGGGAGGAGATGGTAGAAACACTCGAAAGCTTGCTGGGGATGGAACGAGGGCTGGTGCGCGACAAAGGGTGGACTGGCGCCTTTTTCTCGGCGCCGTCTGTCTCCTCTTCATCATAAATGACGACATACGAGAAAGCATGGCAATCATCGCCGTAAAAGTCAGCGGCATTCAGGTCCCCAAGAGGCTCTCGGGACTCCTCCATCATGACCGATTTGCGTGCTGCGGCGGCAGGAGACTCCTGCTCGCGAGAGCGTGGCAGATCCAATCCCAGTTCCACCGGAGGGACATTCTCCTTGCCACGACCCGAGGTCTCTGCTTTGCCCTCCTGGTCATTGATGTCCAGGACGCAAGTAGAGTGTTGCATCAAGTTCGTCATTTCTTCTTGTTCGTTATCAACATAGATATCGAACGCCCAGGAAGCCGGTGCTTTGGGATTGGACTGGCGCTTGGGCTTTGGACCTGACAAGGCAGCCGCGAGGGAGAAGGGGCGGTGAACGGATTTCCGACCGGTCGAATCAAGTCGGCTCTTAGCGATGGTGGAACGTCGAGAGGAAGATTTGCATGACTTTGGTTGAGGCGAGCGTCCAGCAGGCTTGAGGATAGGAGCTGACTTGGGAGTAGACAGAATCGGCTTGGTCGGCGTTGCAGGCATACGAGGAGCACTGCTTGGTTCGAGGGTGGTCAGAACCACGCGAGAAGTCTTGGATGGCTTGGAAGAAATCTTGATCGCTGGTTCGGAGTCGTCGTCGTCCATAGTCCGCTTCCGCTTGGTCGAGAGCTTAAGAGTGACTGGGTCGATATTCTCCGATTCAACATCCACCGTTGGCTGGGTCTTCTTGGACAAGATGGCACCTGAACCACGGCAGTCAGTACCCCCAATCAGGAGACGGATGAAGCGAAGATGATGGGTCACAAAACATACCATCTTGCTTGTTTTTCAAATTCAGCTTGGCCCGGAGCAAGGAACGCATGCGAGGTGCATCAAGGCTGGCGAAAGGCTGGCGAACGGCGGTCGGGGTCATTGTAAGAGCGGCCATGGCGACGAGTGGTGGTGGTGGTGGTGGTGGTGGTGGTGGTGGTGGTGGTCGCAGCACCAATTGAGTAGAACTCGTTGAAGGTGGAAGAAGGGGAAAGGGTTGAAGATGTAAAAATAGGAGCGAGCAACCGACAGGGACCGGCCGGGGCAATGAATCGGGCGTTGCAGTGACTGACAGACGAGTCTGTTTTGGTCGACGCCGTGGAGTTACCGGGCAGGATGGAAGGTGATTGGCGGCGGAGGATGATCGACAGCAATTGATGTGTGTGTTTCAATAAAGTTAATACGAGCTGGACCACGATCTCGTTATCGGAGCCAGTCAAGTCACTCGAGCGGGGGGTGGAGGTGACAGAGAACGGAAAACGAGCGAGCCGGAGGAAGGAAGATATAAAGAGTTTCAACCAGGCAAGGGTTGCAGTGGGTGAAGTGGGTGAAGTGGTTGAAGTGGACGGTTGGGGGGGGGGGAGGGGAGGCAGGAGATCTGTAACGTAACGGGATAATCAAGTACGCCTCTCACGTACGCTGGAGGTATCTAGAAGGTCATTCCTGCCTGCACAGTGACTGGAACGAGGAAGATAGGGATGAGTGGGAGAGTGGGAGAGTGGTGATGAAAGTGGCAGCACAGTAGTGAGGGGGAGGGGGAGGGATCGAAAATGGGACCATGGGAGTCTGTAATGTATAAGTAGGCATGGAGAGTGTGGGAATTGGGGGAGGAAGTTGGACGGAAGTGAAGGAAGTCGCGTCAAGTTCGTGTTTATTCCTTGTCCCAAAAGGGTAATAGTGGTAACATTCAGTTTAGTTCAGTTCGGTTCAGTCAATTCCGGTTCCAAGTTTACCTTCAGCTTTGCCCAGTAACTATACTTCCAGGCTTTAATCACCACCAATGCAAGGCTGCACTCTCCATTATTGCCTGATAATTGGCTGATGCGACAATCGCATTCTCCTCTTTCCCCTCCATCGTCTTGTTCGACTCTTCTTCCTAGTCCCTACACGTCTTGCTCCCCCCCCCTCCACCTCGAGGCGCGTCGCGTTCAGCTTCAATTAAGTTGGCTATGGCCCCTCCAACCCCACGCTTATTATTGAGTTGAAGATCTAGCAGCTACTAACTCATCCATCGATCTAGTGGTTTTAAACATTATCCAGTACATCTACAGAAATCTTAAGCATGATGAAGTCAGTCCCTCACGATGGTTGCACAACCTGGAAACCACCGTAGCCCCCACTGATCTTCTGTTCTCTTCATCCCTTCAACGCGTTGCCCATCACGACCCCCTTCCTTTGTCGTCTCGTCGCGTCTGCACCACCATTTCTCCTCCTCCACTCCTTCGGCTGCTCCATAGCGCTCGCTGGCTTGGCAACTCTGTCGCGTGTCCGTCAATAGTGGACCACGTCGACATCGACTCCATCCCATTGGCTCACCAGCTGCATCCCTTGAATGCGGCGCTATTGCCGGCGGCTACCAGCCCATCATCCCATCCTCATCTTCCGCAGTATACTCATAGTTCCCACGGCCACAATACAGTCCCTCTCCTCGCCTAGCACCTAGCACCACCAGTTTCAACCTCTCCCAAACTCTCAATTGCATTACCGCTGAAACACGGACAGCCCCCAAATAAAGATCCTTACTCGCTGCTCCTCGAGCATCCCACCTAATGTTCTATAATTATCACCACTTGACATTTCATTTCATTTCACCCCCCCGGCCCCATATTCAAAGGGGAGCTATGCACGTTGCTACGCGCCGGAACAGGATTACCCCGTGAACCAGCCGGGCTCACCGAGGAAGACCGTGAAGCATTCCTCAGGGGGTATTCTTTTTATGGTTCCCGCCGGCTGTCGGGGGGCGACGCATGTGCTTTATACCCAGTATGAACTATCTGCCATGGCAGTGTGGTGGCGGCACTTCACATTCCATTCTTCGCGACAGCTAGTGACGAACCACCACCGCCCCTCTGCCCTCGAGGATTGGCTATGACATACAGACAGACTCATACACACATCCATGCAGGTCGCCCTGCTGATGGTGCAGTCTTTCGGGGTTGCCACGGCGCCACCGCATGGGAAACCCGGCTTCTCGACGAAGATACTGACCGTGAAAGGGTACTGTCACCACTTGCTGCGGGGAGGAACCTCTTCGTCTTTCTGCAGCAGGTTGGGTCAGCCCAGAAATATTGGAAGCTTAGCAGCACTAGTCTGATGATGTGCTGTCTTGTGTAGTCTAAACGCGCAGCGTGTGCCTAGTGTGGTATGGTCCCTAGTGATGAGTTGCCAAAGCCGCCTACACCCTCTCCTCTTCTCGAAGCCTTCGGCGATCCGGGAGTTAAATGAGTTATCCAAGCACATTCGACACACAGGACTATGCAAGCCGAACAATTCCCAATACGTGTTTGTCGTAGTCGGCCTAGGCAAAAGGAGACGTCCTTGGCCCGCGAGTCGGGCGAATTTGCAACCTTGCATTATAAAGTACGAGCTGCTGGACTATGATACAAACCCCGCCGGTTACTCCCCTTGAGATCCTTGCCCGGTTCGGTGTGCGCTCACTGCAGCTGTCATTGGGCTCGCCTGTGGGGTTGAGAAGAAGACTCCAGCCTTTCCAAGACAGCCAAGCTCCACCCTAGCATGTCGCGGAGCTCATTGACGAGTTAGAACTCGATGTTGCTTGGAAAGAAAATGGCATGGAATCATGATGTGGAGCGCTTGTCTTAGTTATTATGTGCGTTATATTGATGGTTCTAAATAGATAGGTTCTCGTAGACTGGGAGAAAACAACCTGCGCCGTACACCGTTCATCCTCGCTGTGCCCGAAACCCAATTTGGTATGTAAATGAAATTCCGCCAAAAAAAAAATCATGATCAGAGAAGCAGCAGTCGTGACCGTTCACTGAACGTCAAACCGAGAAGGCCCAGAGGCCAAGGAAAAGCAGAGAGACATTACACACCGTGGCGATACACCTGGGTTCCACCAGAGCGGATTTGAACGGTATCCCGGCGCTGCATGACCACCAAGGCCCGGTGGAGGGCTTGTTCGGTGTATCCTCTGCCTTCCACGAACTCGCGTTTTAAGGTCGCCAGGCTCGTGCTCCAGCCGATGGGGAGACGGCGCTTCAGTTCGTCTTCGATCTTGCTGGCTTCTTCCATCATCTCCTTGCTTCCCTGGCCCTCACCCTGGTTGACCGCGTCCATGGTCGAGGCCAAGAAGAGACGGATGGCTTCGTCGACGTGGGCCTCCGTTGCGATGGGCGACAGGCTCAACTTAGCCAGCGATTCAGTGATACGCACAATGGCCTCGAGTTGACGGACGGTGATAGGGATGGACGAGCGAGTGCCGGCGTCGACTTCGTGACGGTGGACCTGCTTCCGGATAGTGACAAAGTGTGACGACAGCTTTTCGGCTGCTTCATCGGACAGGCGAGGTGCGCAACGGCTGTTGTGTTGTTAGCATGTCTATTCATAGCATTCCAAAGGTTGGTGGTAACATACGTGCGGCAGTAGCTGATATACCGCTTCATCTTCTCCAAGGGGACCTCTGCTTCGATCTGCTCCTCAATGCCTCGTCCGCCCATGTGAACACCCATGACGTGTCGGGCAATGCTTTCGTCGCGGCTGCGCTCGTGGTCATCTCGTACAATGAAGATCATATCAAAACGCGACAGGATAGTAGTCTGGAAATCGATGTTCTCGCCCGGAGTCTTCAGATCATCATAACGACCGAAGATGGGGTTGGCTGCAGCCAAAACAGACGTCCGGGAGTTGAGGATCGTGGTGATACCGGCCTTGGCAATCGAGATGGTCTGCTGTTCCATGGCTTCGTGAATAGCAACACGATCTTCGTCTCTCATCTTATCGAATTCATCGATACAGACAACTCCGCCGTCAGCGAGCACCATGGCACCTCCTTCCAAGTAGAATTCGCGCGTAACGTGGTCACGTTGTACGGAAGCAGTCAAACCCGCCGCGGATGAACCTTTACCGGAGGTATAGATTGCGATTGGCGATACCTTCTCTGTGAACTTGAGTAGTTGCGACTTAGCTGTACCGGGATCACCAAGCATGAGGACGTTGATATCACCACGAAGTTTCATCCCATCGGGAAGAATCTTCTTGGAGCCACCCATCAGCAGACAGACAATAGCCTTTTTAATATCCAGGTTTCCGTAGATCGACGGGGCGATGCTTCGTGCCAAGGCATCGTACAAATCGGGACGACGACTGAGTTCCAAAAACTCTTGTTCTTCCTCCTCAGAGAAAATAGCATTGCCCTTGGCAGTGTGGTCGAGATCCGTGCTGATACCAACAGCCCGCAAATACGGGTTGCGGATGGCGACTGCTCCATCCTTCTTTCCGCCCTTCGATGATTGATAGATTGAGAAGATACCCATGACTGTGCAACGAGAACCAGGTACAACTCGGTTGGCGAGGTAGCGATCGGCAGAGATGAGGACGTGGCGAGGAAGTTCACCCACAGGAACCTGATCAGGCGCCTCCTGCAGCTTCAGGACTTGCTGATCAACGAAGTGGCACTTCTCGTGCGAAACAACGTATGGATCGAGCGGGCACGGCTCCGAGTTAGGATCGCCCGGCTGCTTTTCACGGCCACATTTTCTGGGGAGCTGCATCCCTGCGAATCCACCCTCAACCGTGAGATTTTCGGTATAACCACAGTTTTTGCATCGGAGATGCATCTGGGTAGCTTTGGACGATATCGTCGAGGCGCCAATAACGATACCCGGGATTCGCACGAGATGCGAGATATTAGTAGCGTTGAGGTCTCGGATCGAGATATGTGTTGCGGACGAGTGGAGCAAGAGCTGGTGAGGGGGGAGTTCGACGTCTCTTTGGGAGGGATATACAATGCGTCGAGTACATTCTTGAAGGGCTGCCTCGAACTGGAGTGGGTAGAAGTACTGATTAGAGCTGTCTCGACCGAAGAAGGAGTCGATGAGCTTACGAGGGGGATGATGTTTGCAGGCTCGGTGGTGAGCTTGTGGGCCAGCTCCTCGTTGTATGAGATCATGTGAGCGATATCGATGTCGCAATAGTATTGCTTGACCAAGACATTTTGTCTCAATTGGTCACTGCAATGGCAAGTCAATATCAGGATGTGGCATACAAGGCGGCGGCGTCAACATACCGATAGATAAATGCGTTATCCAACTGAAATTCCAATACAAACTCCCTCAATTTCGCTTGGATCTGGCTGCGAGAGTCATCAACACCATCGACGCTGGGAGCGAGGACGCTCAAAGTGTAGGGGGTGCGTCTATCCATGGTGGTGACGGCAGTGACAAGAGGTGGGGTGGCAGTTGTGGTGAGGTGTGTAGGTTTTCGGTGTATCCCGTTGCGAGGAGAAACTGCAAATATCTTTCCTGAGCAACGGCACACGAATGGAACGCGTCGCGTCGGGACCACGCGTTAAGTGGTTTGGCCTAAGGCAACAGCTAATCAAGCCACGGAACAACATAGCCCCGGGCTCCGACGCGGCTCGGATGGGTCTTTGTCATCCCTCGTCCCCGGGGCCTGGCGCCTTACCCGATCGGGTTCGAGCTATCATGAACCCCCCCCCGTATCAGATGGAGCTGGGTGACGTTGCAGCAAGAATCAATTGCTTCCAATTAATTCCAGGCTTGCCCTCTCTTGCCATTCAATCCTGGTTCCCAGTGGTAGACACTGCTTGTTAGTGTACTGCTGGCAGTCTCTTTCTTGCTAATCCACAACTGTCCACTTGTCATGTCCATATAGTGTTCCCCTCCAACAGCACGGTGACCGCGGGACTTGTCAGTCGCCAAATCGGCATCAATATGTCCTCTGCCAGTCCCCGGAAGTCGATTGACAGCTTGGCCTCAGGCGCCTCAACTCCTTCTCTATCTCAGTATTCATTCACACAGATCGAATCCCCTCGGATCTCATCGCAAAGATACCCCTTAAGGAGGGGATCAACCGCAAGCTCGATCGCAAGTATTGGCGGAATTCTGGATCCCTCCAGCCGCCATGGGTCCATCGCTGAATCTGGACAGAATGGTACGACCCAGCCCACTTCACTTCGAACATTAAAGGTTAACCTGATCCCTCAACGACAGCAATTTCTACTCTCCTGCAACCTCCGATTGTCCGCACGGGTCTTGTGCCTCATACCGCTGTTGGCACCGCCGGATACAAACCACCGACGACTCGTGACATTCCTCCGGTTACTCTGACCAACATCCCGCACGTTGACTCGAAAGCGTTCGAATCATATCTTTCTCAAGTTGGCTCTTTGTATGATGCCTTTCAGCAAGCCAAAGAGAGCAATACCGAGCAGGAATCGCAATTAGTGCGGGGAGGGGGCAAGGCCTCACCGAAGCCGGAAGACTCGGATTCTTTAACTCCTGGATCGCGGGAACGCCGACCGTCAACTCTGTCGAATCACTCTCGAGCGACCTCTCCATATGATACGCGAGGCAGGAGGCGGTCATACGCTGGGCGTGGCCGGGGTCAAGCCGTTACTCCCTTGTCCACGATTCCCACAGTATACTTCGAGGATGACTTCCGACTCGAGAATCCGCGAACGTTTGATGTGGTGTCGGAGAAGTCTGGAATCATAACTTCCAAAGATAAATCGGAGAATGGAGCCGCCGTGGAGTCCGCTGCCACGGGGAGGAAGGCTCTCGCTACGAATGCCATATTACAAGAAAAGCTTTCATGGTACATGGACACTGTGGAAATTCATCTGATTTCGTCCATCTCCACCGCTTCTAAATCCTTCTTTACCGCACTCGGGTCTTTGCGAGAGCTCCATGCAGAAGCCGCCGACTCGGTGAAACGTATCCAAGTTCTGCGGAAGGACCTACAGAAGATTGACCGTGAAATGGCTTTGGGAGGTCTGAAGATTGTGAATCTGCGGCGACGGAGGGAAAATGTACGGATGTTGGCAGATGCCGTGGCACAGCTCCGCGATGTGGTCGAGTCAGTTTCTCGATGTGAAGCACTCGTCGAGAATGGTGACATTGAGGAGGCTGCCGATGGCCTTGAGGAGGTGGAGAGATTAATGGCAGGGGAACAGGCTACAAGTCCATTGACTGCAAACAAAGAACAGCAACAGTCGAGAAGGACGGTCGACTTACGGCGACTGAAAGCGCTCGAAGGTGCGTCCGAGGACTTGGATCAGCTGAGATCTCGAATCGGTAGCGGCTACGAGAGCCGTTTTCTAAGCGACCTTCTCGGCGACCTGAGACAGCACGTTGAGAATGTACCGTTAGATACTACGCTACAGAGATGGGGATTTTCTTTCCAGCGACAGCGTGGCGCACGCTCCGGCGCTGCGCAATCTCCTGCCTATATGAACTTTGATGAGCAACTGCGGTCGAAACTGCGCATGCATCTCACTGGTCTGGCTCGTGTACGCCACACAACACCTGCGGCGACTTCCTTCAAGACAGCAGTACTGCGCGAGATGAAGAGTCTAATCCGCAAGCATATGCCCAGCTCCAGTGATGATGACAGTGAATCAGTGGTGTCTGTGTCCACGCACAAATCCCAACAACTCAGTCAACAAGAAAAGTCGTCGATTCTTGCGCGCAATCTCCGCGCCTTGGACGCTCAGGACTCGTATGAAATGCTAGCCAAGGTGTATACTGGGATTAGTGAGTCTTTGAGAAGACTCAGCGTTCAAGTCAAAGTTCTTCTGGATATCGCCAGTGGATTGGGAAATCCTGTCTCGTTGGGTCTGCGCTCCGGTCCCCCAAGCCCAAACCCTCAAGGCCCGACTACTCCGGCCTTGGAAGCAGAGAGAACGGCAGCCCTCATCGCGCAAGACGAGATTCTACAGGTTCTGGACATGTCCAGTCTTCTTGGCCAAGCGGTTGACATTGCTCAGTCTCAAGTGGTTAAGGTCCTGAAAGTTCGCTCGGAACAGACATCTCAATTGCCGATGGAAGACTTCCTCAAGTACTTTACATTGAACCGACTCTTTGCAGACGAATGTGAGGCTATCTCCGGCAGAGGCGGCGCCGCGTTGAAAACGGTTGTGGGAAATCAGATTCGGGATTACATCAACCGGTTTGGTGACAGCCAACGGCGCCGCATTGTCGAAGTTATGGATTCTGATAAATGGGACGCACGGGACTTCGGAGAGGACGAGAAAGCTATCTTGGACCGGATACTTAGCGCAAGTACGCGAGACATCGAGCTCTGGACCGATGCATCCAAGATCTGGCTGTCCTCGAACGGACGCCAGGAGCCGAAACCTACGGCTCCAGCCACAGCCAATGGTACGGGTAAGGAGAAGCTGCGGAGTGCGGTGATCGACGAGCAGAAGTACATCCTTACCGAATCCGGTGTCGCGATGATGAAGAGCATCGAAGAGTTCCAGTTCCTCATGGCGAATATCCCCAGTATGATGCCGGACATTGCGCCCGGGCTTCTGGAGTCATTAAAGCTGTTCAACTCCCGGTCTTCGCAGCTGATCTTGGGTGCTGGCGCCACGAGAAGCGCGGGCCTAAAGAACATCACCACGAAACACCTAGCTCTATCCTCGCAGGCGCTCAGCTTTATCATCGCGCTGGTTCCCTATGTCCGCGAGTTTGTCCGCCGACACGCGTCCTCGATTCCGTTGCTGGGCGAGTTCGACAAAGTGAAGCGGCTGTACCAGGAACACCAGAATGGCATCCATGAGAAACTGGTTGACATCATGGGGTCACGATCTGCCATCCACGTGAATGCCATGAAAAAGATCGATTGGGATGCTTCTGCTGGATCCACCACTGTGAGCCCGTACATGGAGACACTGGCCAAGGAAACGGGCACCTTGCATCGGGTGCTGAGCAAGCACCTTCCTGACATGACCGTCATGATGATCATGGATCCTGTGTTCAAGAGTTACCGCGAGCAGTGGACGAAAGCCTTTGACGAGGTCAAGGTGACTTCGGAGGCGGCCAAGCAACGGTAAGTTATGACCTCCGCCCCTAGAGTACGGACGCAACTAACACAAGCTTGTAGGTTGCAACGTGATGCGGAGCACTTCCAAAGCAAGCTGAGCAAGATCGACGGCTTTGGCGACCTGGGCCAGCGACTCCTGGAACTGGTGCAACAGAAAAGCCTTGTCGCGGAGCCACGCGAGTCCAGCCCGGTCGACGGGAGTTCATCCAAGGGGTCGTCCGAGACCACTGACACTGGCCGGAGCCAGAAATAGCTATCTGGCTAGTGTGTACATTTGTCTTGTGTCAATCACCTGGCCTAGTTCCCATTGCTCGGTGTACGGAGGCGGGAGGCTGTCTGATCTCCTTGACCGTTCGTGCAGCGTACATAGAGTGCAGTCAGGAGACATACTCTCGCTTACTCGGGCAGCAGCTCGAGTGAGACATTTCTTCTATATAGATACTTAATTTATGCACTTACATATCTTCTCATAACCTTTAGTATCACGCTTATCCAGGCCCCACCAAATCCACACTTAGAGCGTAACTCGGTCAAATGCATCCCTTAAAATACTTGAATCTATTCACAAGACTCAACCCCAACACCAAACTATAACGTCCCGATTCAGATGCCGGGACAATATTCTAATCTACAGGTCCTTTATCTATCGGCAACACTAATTAGTAGTCCTCTGTAGCCGAGGTAAAGTGTACAGTACTACGCAACAACCCTCACCCGACAACACCAACCCAGAACAAGAGAAGAGAAAAACCCAATGAACAGAAAAGTCCATTAATCTGAGCCCTAACCAGTAGGCACCGTCGTCGTCGTCGTAGCCAGACGATCAATCACTCAATCATCATCACCACATCATCATCATCAAAACAAAGAGTATATCATACAAAGGCAAGGATATCACATATCCCCATCGCAACCGCATCAAGCGGAAGTTATTTGAAAAACCCATCCCCCGAACTCCAATCCACCCCATGTATTAATATGACCTGTATCTCAAGGCCAGAGAATGGAGGATCTCAGAATGCAAATCATAAACGGTTCTGGTTATGTTCGCTCGCTCCCGCGCCTACTGGCCGGGGAGGGCACCGAGACCCTTCTTGTCGCCGAGGGTCTTGGGCTCGTGGCCGCCCTTGCCGCTGCCGAACTTGTTGGGGCCGGAGCTGCCCTGAGCGCTGAGGAAGCCGCTGGCCTGGCCGGATTCTTCGGGGAGGGGGGCGGTGCGCTGGGCGCGGTTGAGGGTGTCGTTCTTTTGGGGTTGTTAGTTTCGGGAGTTGGAGACAGAAGGGAAAGGGGAGGGAGCATACGTCAGGGTTGGTGCCGTGGACCTTGGTCTGGCCGGCCTCGATGGCGTTGTCGCTGTGGGGGACACCGTCGTCGTATTCAGCTCCGCGAGGCATTTTGTGTGTTGTGGTGTGGTTTTTGTGGTAGAAAGAAAAAAGGTAGGGTGGTGGTTTGGTTTGGTTGCTGGGGTTGATGTTAGCTTGTTGCTGCGCGGTACTCTGGAAAGTCGTGGATGACTTACTGTAGTCTGAGAGTTTGGTAGTCGTTGTCTTGTGATTGTGAGGATGGCAGTCAAGCTGGAAAGCAAGGGATCTTATATGCTGGGTCTGGTGGTGATGTGTTCATTGATTCTGGGATGAGCACGTCGAGTGCTGACAGCATCATGAAGTCATTCTCCCCACCCAATGACTTCATGGGGCCCTGTCTGAGATCAGGTACGGAGTACAGTCGCTCGCACTCTTCCATTCTCTTCGCTGCGTGTGAGACATGGTAGTGATCGGCGAGGGGTCAGAGCGGTTGGTAGTATGTACTTCGGATTGTATTGCGCAATCAACTGAGGGTGGACTATCTGCGTGACTGATGTGGTTTGTAGGATGGCGAGCGGAAAGTGAGAGTCCCAGTACGGGATCCGGAATTGGAGGCGGGAGTCCGAGGGTCGGGTTTCCTGCAGGTGGAAGGGGGGGAAAAGGGTCGGGTTACACTGAAGGGATTCCTTTGAGAGACCTTCGATTTGATCTAGATCTCAATGATCTTGGATCTGAGTATCCTCATGGTAAGGTTCGCACACCGATCATTCATTAAAAGATCGGAAGGATTGTTACCGCTGGTTTGATAGCTGCGTTGCCTTCCTTTGGCATTGAACCAGGCAAGGTCCAGACCCCAAGCTGGCCAGTTGGCGCCCGTGCCGTTTTTTCTTTGGTTGAGATTCAAACTTCAGGACTACATGTAGTATCACCCTCATCCCTTCTGTGTCTCTTTGTTCCAGCTATCTTTCCAATTCCTTCCATATCTGCATCGCCAAGATGTATGAAGCTCCTATATTAGATTCTTCACCGATGTCGAACAAGAAACAACTGCCCTTACACAATCACATTCCCCGAGCTTCACATACCTACCACCCTATGATATATAACCTACGACCATACAACCATTCGTTCCAGCTAACAACCCACGAGAACACAAGCCACAATCACAATCTAAACCCAGCTTCACTCTCACTCCCATCCAGACACAAACCCCAAGTGACCCCCAACCCCAAGGACCGCAATTTCCAACCCCTCCGACCAATTCACATCCCCGACCAGGCCGCTCCCTCACCACCTGTCCAACCTACCGTAGACCCAACCCCGGGGCTCCACTTCCCGCGCACCCTCGGCTCCAAAGCCAAAGCAACCCGGTAGGATCGCAACGGCAAGCGGTCGACCGGCTCCGACCCCGGTCTTCACACTTCCAATTCCTTCCCCCGCTCACGCAACCGTCTTGAGTCGGGATGAACCGGGGCGAGGTACACGGAGTGCGTCGATAGAAGTGGTTAGGTTTCCCGAGTAACAGGCGACAGACGACGGGTGCCAAGTAAATGGGTGATGGCCTTGGTTATGGTTGTGGTTACGTTGACCGTGGACAGTACGGTACGGAGAGCGCTTTACCGATACCGCAAACGGCTTGGGCGGGTAGGGGGGAAAGCGATCGGGATCGTGATCGTGAGCCGTGGGGGTTGCGCGTGCACCGGGGAACAACGGTTTCGGTCTCGGTCGGATGGGCCTTTGCGTTCTGCGAGGAGGACGGAGGACGAGGCGATGGTGGGGGACGGGGAAAGGCCAACGCCAACGCCAAGGTCAAGGTCAAGGTCAAGGCCGGGGGCTGGGTGGTGGTGGTCGTGTAGTTGTTGTTTGTCAACGCTTGGAGGAGGGGTGAGGATGGGGCCATTGCGGAGTAGCTCGTGCGGCGGTGGCGGGCCGGTCGCAGCGTTGGCCAGGACAACTACTCGTACTATGAACCGCGACGACAAGTCGAAGGAACAGAGGTCTATCCGTCTTGACACAGAGGTAAGAGTTAGCGGGCATAGTTACTATTTTGGCTTTGTTTTGTTCGGGGGTGTGCGGAGAAAGAGGGGTCATTTCGATGAGCAGGATCGTGGGCAAATAGAGGCATTCGGGGACGGTGAATGCGATGGAGCTGGGCTGGGCCCCCAGAGATCCAGCTGACAAGCCATATTGGCACTATGAAGGATCTGGTTAGATTGCCTCTAGCAGGAAAGCTCAAAAAAGCTAAAAAGGTCGAGGCGGACGAGCTGAAGGTGCTCTTTAGAGGAATCTTCCAGATCGAGGAAATGGTGAGGGGCATCAGTGCAGCGAGGATAACGCGGCCGCGGAGATGGTCTATGATTTGGACGTGCTTGCTGCTCCGGAACTGGCCGAGGCCCTACGTGTAACGAGCTGGGATCTTTACTTATTACGAATCTAGTAATTGCATCCAATTCAAAGTGGACCTTAAACTCCAGCATGCAAGGGTATCTAACGACGTGACAAGAACCAAATCCAAGCTAATGCATTCCACCGACCAAAACCACGCCGGGGCCTAGCTTGGATCCAAAACACCCAACACCGCCCTAATTTAATCAGACCTGTCAGGCAGACAGCTTAGCGCCTGGGGCACTCGGTTGCGGCTGATCTGGACCCTCAGGCCGTTGAAGATGATATGGTAGAATAGATCGACCTCCTCGTTGTTCAAGTCGAACGACAAAGTGCTCTCTTGTGACTCGGATAATATACTCGTGGCTCTGGTATCCACGCTTGACAAGCGACTCTCTGGACGAGTGCTTCGCGTGGAGGCCAGGGAGTGGGCATAAGAGCTCGATCGCATTGTAGATGAGAGGAACGGGCGTAGCGAGCGGATACTATCCGCCGGTTCGGACTCCGGGTCAGGGTTGACGACAACGAGCCTTTGTGGGGGTACGTGCATATAGCCACCTTCGACGAGGGCAGAGATGCCGTTATAATTGATGGCCTGCGAGTCGGGCGATACACGGTTGTTAACTTGTTTGATGTCCGGTTGAGAGGTAGGAGGAGGATCGCTCGATTTCTGGAAGGACTTCCAGAGTCCTTGTAGGACTCTCCACGGTGCTCGACAATTTGATTTCGACATAAGCCCCCGAAAGTGGCTCTGAATTTGCTTCATAGGCATGGCTTAATCTTGATCGATGGCAAAATGGGTATTGGGTATAGGTGGAGGTTGGTATGGAGGACGAAGATCCGGCGTTGGTGGCAAGCGGGGGCGGGGATGAGGGGAAGAGGGTGGTGGGCTCTGACTGCGAGGCTGAGGTGCGACTCGAGTCACTATCATACCAAAGATCAGATGTGAGGGAAATGGAGAGTAACGGCGATCCACTGAGGTAGAAACATTGAGGAATCTCAAGTCACTCATGGCACAGCGCCTACCGCGCAATTCACTTGATGATCCGATGGAGATGTCGCGCAGGACATTTCCAGTCGATCCAGCTGAGGAGCAGCCCTGGCATTGTTAAATGTCTTGCTACTGAAGATCCAAGACAGAGCGGTAAGAGCGAGTTTCGGGGGTGTGTGAGTTGGAAGTAAATCATGGCGAACTCAATTGCGCGAACTGATGACCACGAATGCTATTGTTTGTCGCTCGGAAGAAAAAGGTACCAGAGAGGAGAAGCACAGTTGTGAATGGCGCATGAGTGCCGTCAGCATGGAAGATTTGCAGCACGAGGGGTGGCTGCTCTGCATCAGATTAAAAACAACCAGACGGCACGATTGGCAAGCGAGGACCGTGAGGCGGTGGGCGGTAGGCGGTGACGTCAGGGCACGAAGCAGCTTTCCCCAGATTTGCCCAGATTTACCCAGTTTTTTACCTAATCCGGCTGCCGGAGCCAAGCGGAGACAAACTTTGGTTTTTGAGGTACGGTACAATTCATACGCTGTTGAGAGAGGGGAACCAAAATTAAACAGAAAAAGAAAAAAAAAAAAAAAAAAAAAAGGAACGACACCGTTACAATTGCGAATGGGGACATTCATTGGGTTGGGGGAGTTTTCCCTGATACGAGATCTTCGCTTGCCTCCTCGTCCACCCCCTTCCTCGCTCGACCATGGCGGAAATCGATCGTTCCCTCCAGGCTTGTGTGTGTCACGTAAAATGAGCAAATGAGCAAATGAGACCACCCCCTGTTTCCCTATCCTTGTTCGGGAGGAGGCAACAAAACGTAAAACTCGCTCGCAGCAGCAGAGTAACGTAAGTGTGAGCTCCCACGGATCATGGATCATCATCTGGTCGGATGATTCTGCAATTGACGGGACCAACCGGGGGTTGTCATTAGCCGGGGGTCCCTCTTCCAAGGACTCAAGGACTCCAGGACTCCAGGACTCCAGAGATTCTCCAGAAGAGAGGCCGAGGCCAGAACTGGGGATGCGTCCGTGCAACGCCAACCTTTAGTTTAGTCCAGCTGTTAGCCCAACCTGCTCCCGGTGAGCTCGACAGAGACACAACACGAAGGATACAATTGAATGAAGGGTAGGAAATGAAGGGAAAGGAAGCTAATTTCTGCCCTTCCCCTCCCTGTGCTGGGGGGGTTTTTAAATTGTCCCTAGCAACAACGCAAATAAGGAGATGACAGGATTTCAGCTGGCAGGTTAGCGGTTGTGAACTCCGTATTGCTTGAACTCCGTCCTGTACGGTACTAGTATACTATACTTAGCTAGTAGTAGTAGCAGCAGCAGCAGCAGCAGCAGCAGCAATCTTGCCTGTTTCCCTCTTCCTCCCCCGCCACCCACCTTGTATTTCTCCCCGCACGTCACCATCACCTCCTCCTGGGGATTTTCTTTTCTTTCTCTTCTTCTTTTCTTTTTCTTTACTTCTTTACTCTTCTCTCTCTACATTGTATCCCCTCCTCCCCCCCTCCAACCCCTCCCCATTCTACCACTAAGAGAGTGTTGACGTGAGTTCCAGTAGCTCATCGTCGGATTCTCTTTCTCTCCAGCTTATCGTTAGAGCTTCCTCCGCACCCGCTTTATTGCACCCACACAGCTCTTTCGGCGCACCATGGCGAGCGAAGACAACGGTCAAGATCCTCCCAAGCGAGATGTTCGCAACCACCTGCTCTTTGAGATCGCAACTGAGGTCGCCAATCGTGTGGGAGGTATTTACTCCGTCCTCAAGTCTAAAGCTCCCGTCACCACCGCCGAGTATGGTGAACGTTACACCCTGATCGGACCGCTCAATCGAGCCTCCGCAGCTGTTGAGGTCGAGGAACTAACCCCTTCAAACCCTCGATTGATTGAGACAATCCAGTCCATGAAAGAGCGTGGCATTGAGATTGTCTATGGCCGCTGGCTGATTGAAGGTGCCCCTCGGGTGCTGCTCATTGACACTTCAACCGGTTACAAGTACTTGGACGAGTGGAAGGGAGACCTGTGGAATACGGCCGGAATCCCCTCTCCCGCAGGTGATACTGAAACGAATGAGACCATTGTGTTTGGCTACTTGGTAGCATGGTTCCTGGGTGAAGTACGCGATAGAGAAATCTCCCGACTATAGCGCAAAGTGCTAACCAGGTGTTCCAGTTCATCGCACACGAACGCCGCAAAGCAGTTGTGGCTCATTTCCACGAGTGGCTTGCTGGTGTTGCCCTTCCCCTGACGAAGAGGCGCCATATGGACCTAACCACGATCTTCACAACCCACGCCACATTGCTCGGTCGCTATCTATGCGCAGGGTCGGTAGACTTCTACAACAACCTGCAGCACTTTGACGTCGATGCAGAGGCTGGTAAGCGCGGCATCTACCATCGATACTGTATCGAGCGGGCTGCAGCGCACACGGCTGATGTCTTCACGACCGTCTCTCACATCACTGCCTTCGAAAGCGAGCACTTGCTTAAGCGGAAGCCCGATGGTGTGCTACCGAACGGACTGAATGTGAAGAAGTTCTCAGCTGTCCATGAGTTCCAGAACCTGCACTCGCAATCGAAGGAGAAAATCAATGACTTCGTTCGTGGACATTTTTACGGCCACAACGACTTCGATCTCGACAACACTCTGTATGTCTTTACTGCCGGTCGCTATGAGTTCCGCAACAAAGGTGTGGATATGTTCATCGAAAGTCTGGCGCGTCTCAACCACCGCCTCAAGGCGGCCGGATCCAAGACAACAGTCGTCGCCTTCATCATCATGCCTGCTCAGACTTCGTCACTCACAGTGGAGTCGCTGAAGGGCCAAGCTGTCGTGAAGTCGCTTCGGGAGACCATCCATAACATCGAGCAGGGCATTGGCAAGCGCATGTATGAGCGCTCCTTGGCATGGAAAGAGGGCGACAACATGCCGGATGAGAAGGACCTGATTACCAGTCAGGATCGCGTCCTTTTGCGCCGTCGTCTTTTCGCCATGAAGCGCCACGGCCTGCCACCTATCGTTACCCACAATATGGTTAATGACCATGAAGACCCGATTCTAAACCAGATCCGTCGGGTGCAATTATTTAACCACTCGTCAGACCGAGTCAAGGTGGTCTTCCATCCTGAGTTCCTGAACTCTTCAAACCCAGTGCTCCCGCTTGACTATGATGACTTTGTGCGCGGAACTCACCTTGGAGTTTTCCCTTCTTATTACGAGCCGTGGGGATACACTCCTGCCGAATGTACGGTGATGGGAGTTCCTAGCATTACCACCAACCTTTCTGGTTTCGGGTGCTACATGGAGGAATTGATCGAAAACTCGTCCGACTACGGTATCTATATTGTGGACCGCCGCATGAAAGGGGTGGATGACTCTGTGAACCAGCTTACGGACTTTATGTTGAACTTCACTCAAAAAAGCCGGCGACAACGGATCAACCAGAGAAACCGGACCGAGAGATTGAGCGATCTTTTGGATTGGAAGCGGATGGGTCTGGAATACGTCAAGGCCCGGCAGCTTGCTCTGCGTAGAGGTGAGTACTGTTGCTTGTACTTGTTCACTTACTAGTGGATACTGATCAGCGTGTGCAGCTTACCCTTCGTCGTTTGGAAACGGAGAGGATGTTTACGATATCATCGGAGGCACCGAGCAGAAGATCTCGCGTCCCCTCTCGGTTCCTGGATCGCCAAGAGACCGGTCTGGCATGATGACCCCGGGAGATTTTGCCTCCCTCCAGGAGGTCAAGGAAGGCCTCAGCACGGAGGACTATGTCGCCTGGCGACTGCCGTAAGTTGAGCCCTGATACCCTTGAAGATGTAGTCGCTGACCCAGTTTCCATGCACAGGACCAGCGAGGAAGAAGAGCCAGATGACCACTACTTCCCTCTTACTCTCCGAACGAAGAAAGCCACCGATCGGCCTGCCTCCCCGCTTGACCGGCTTTCATTGAATGGAGACGCATGATCGATTGTCTATACGATACTAACAGACACCCAAGTACTTATTTCCATTATGTGAAACACATCATTCTGTAGTTGCTGCATCTTGTGCCCGTCCTTTGCCTTCGCCCCAGCATGCTTGCAGTTTTGACTATTGTCGACTCGTCTCGATTCGTAGGTCCTGAATACAGCGCATCCTTCCGTTCGCCGTGTGATATTATAGCCTGGCTGTTTCTGCGGTCTTGCTCCATTAGTTTGGTTCTTTTCACTCCCTTGTTTAATATTGATATGTTCCCTCTCCTTCGCCTGCCTCGATTGTCAATCCTCTCTACTTAGTCACTTAACAGATTGGAGATTAGATACTTCGAATGCATTGAACCATTCAGTCCATAGCCAGTATCTTCCGGGAAGCACAGGGTGGTAGACGTGAGGAATGAAAACGCGCAGGGATTGTAGTCCGAGACCGGAGGGAAGTGAGTTCGTAGTGGTGATTTCCCTCGAGACGCCAAGAAGTTGAGTCATTTAATGGATTGATGGACAGAGACAGAGAGAGTTGTGGTGCGGGTCTTCGGAGCGGGGAGCTGCGAGAGGATCAACACCAGCCAGGATTCTTGAGACATTGGGAGGTCCAGCCCAATTAGACTTTGGGATTATCGCGGATGAGCGGAGAATCTGCGCTTCGGTGAGAGGGTAGTGGTACGTTAGTGAGTGAGTGGTAGAGAAGTGGAAGTACTGTACATGTGATGGTGGTGGGGGTTTCCACATCTTCCCTCCCTCCCTCCCCTCCCGCCTACTTATACTTCCGTTCCCCTCTCTCATCCCTCTCTCATCCCTCTCTCTTTCTTCTTCTCTTCTGTCTTTCATCCTTCTCATTCCAATCTTCAAAACCTCAGTTCAGTCTCCAACTCCACCGTACACTATCGTCCGGTACGACTCACAATGAAGCTACGCAATCAGGATGACTTTCCGAGTCTTCTCGCTAGGGGTTCAGACGGATCAAGGTATCGTACTAGTATAATGGCAGTCACAGCTCGCGCATGACAGGTGTTCGACTCGAGTTTCTGTCCTCATCTCCGGATCGGTGGTGTATCTTCCTCTGGCTCTGCGGCTGTCTTGCCAAGTTGCTGTCAAGGCACTTTGCAAGATAGCCCATCAGTGGGATACACGTCACCCTGGCCCACGATGAGGGCAGACACTCGGTCGTTCTGAGATTATACTGTCATAACTTGATCTAGATAATACTAGCGAAAGGACATGCGTGGCATTGATTGTTCCATCCCCTTATACGCAGGATGGAAAGGGGAGCTCCGTCTCCCAATTGCTGACAATGTCCAGTACTTTGATCTTGACTTGAACTCTGTGCCAAGATGTCTACTGACAAGATAACCTTCCTGACCAACTGGTACGCATTAATCATTTGCACTGGTAGTCGCACATGTGGAATCCCTGCTAAAACTATTGTGTTTCAAGGCACGCGACCCCGTACCACGCCCCCCTATACCTTGCACAGAGCAAAGGCTTCTTCAAGGAAGAGGGCCTCAAGGTTGCTCTGCTCGAGCCCAATGACCCCTCCGATGTCACCGAGATTATCGGCAGTGGCAAGGTTGACATGGGCTTCAAGGCCATGATCCACACTCTGGCCGTATGTGCTCCCTGAGTCAACAGCTTGTGCTGGTTGCTAACCGTCGAGATCAGGCCAAAGCTCGCAACTTCCCTGTCACCTCGATCGGCTCTCTTCTCGATGAGCCGTTCACTGGAGTCATTTACCTCAAGGGTAGCGGGATCACCGAAGACTTCCGCTCTCTGAAGGGTAAGAGAATTGGTTATGTCGGCGAGTTTGGCAAGGTGCGTACAAGACAGGCCACCCCTCCCTTGCCCTACGCTAACTGGTCATCATAGATCCAAATCGATGAGCTCACCAAGTACTACGGCATGACGGCGGACGACTACACCGCTGTGCGCTGCGGCATGAACGTGACCAAAGCGATCATCGAGGGCACAATCGACGCGGGGATTGGTCTCGAGAACGTGCAGATGGTCGAATTGGCCGACTGGCTGGCGAGCCAGAACCGACCGCGCACCGACGTGCAGATGCTGCGCATCGACCAGCTTGCGGAGCTCGGCTGTTGCTGCTTCTGCTCCATCTTGTACATCGCCAATGACACCTTCCTGGCTGCCAACGGCGAGCGCGTTCGCAAGTTCATGAATGCTGTCAAGCGTGCCACCGAGTACGTCCTCGCTGAGCCCGCCCAGGCCTTCGAGGAGTACGTCGCCATGAAGCCCATCATGGGCACCCCGGTCAACCGCCAGATCTTCGAGCGGTCGTTCGCGTACTTCAGCCGCGACCTTAAGAACGTCCAGCGCGACTGGAACAAGGTCACCAACTACGGCAAGCGGTTGGGAATCTTGGACGCGGACTTCCAGGCGAACTACACCAATGAGTTCCTGTCCTGGGATCTAGATGCCGATTCCACCGATCCGCTGGGCGATCAGAAGCGCATGGCTGAGTTGCAGAAGGAGGTGGCTGATCAGGGCGGTTTCCGCCGGCTGCAGGTGGCCTCTGCTTGAGTTCGTCGTCTGGCGGAACGGGAAAACTATTGCCTGTGAGCACCGAATCTCACTGCCATTGACATCATGAGGCTAGCGGTCTCAGCTAGCTATGCACTCGTTACGAAATGAATCACTATCGAGCCGTTCCTCTTTCCCACACTTTGCAGGAGAAGTGTAGTTGGTTATCTGGTACACGTAGTGATTGTGCTCTTTCCACTGGGGGTCGTAATTCATGAACAAGCTGTCCCAACCATGATACCATATACATACTATGCTCTATTGACCCTGATAGAAAGCCGCTCAAACATTGCTTGCCAACCGCAAGAGCAATATGATGAATCACACCTGCCCCGTGGGTTTCATTTCCTGCTTCGATATTCTTCACCCTCTCTGTCCGGAAGAGAGGCTACGCGGCGCTGTCCCAACAAAGACGAGAGTTCGACCCCCTCCCCACCGTCAACGTCGCTCAAACTTCCCTCGTCCTCCGCGTCCCAGCGTCTCAGACGCCGGAAATCTCCCCGCTGCCGATCCTCCACCCGACGGAGCGCAGTCCTCCGGAACAGAACTCCGAACCGGCGTAAGAGGCAGACCCCGACCACGAGCACCAGCGCACAACCCAAGAGCCCCGCCACAGCTACCCTCTCCCTAGTGCCGAACCGCCCCCGACCATCGTCATCACCCCCCTCCGTCCCAGAGACCACAACCGCCTCCTCAGCCGCAGGATCCCAGCGCGCCAGCTTGGACGCGCTCAGCACATGGCCCGAGGCATTCAGCGCCAGCACGCGGAGATACCTGTATTCCCTCGCATCCTCCGGGATAGGGATGACAGTTTCAAACCCCACCTTCGGCACGGTCGTGACTCTCGCAAAGGCCGCGGCACTCCCACCCTCTCCCCCCGATTCCCGAATCCCCTGCTGCCCCTGCTGCTGCTGCTGCTGCTGCCGCCCAGCAGAAGCATCATCCGTCCCCTCCAGCCCCCAAGCCACCACCTCCGTAGCCCCATTCCAACTCGCCGCGGCCCGATCCCGATACACCTCGAAATCCGGACGCGTGCGCGGGGCCCCGCGCCAGGGGTGCTTGAACACGCGGTAGGAGAGGATATTCCCCAAGCCGAACTCGCGCTGCGGGCCGAAGTGCACATGGCAGAGGGGCTCGCCCTCGCGGGAGAACTCGGTCCAGGCCGCGTTCCACCCGTAGCCGACCAGGACGTTGCCGTTGGCCAGGAGCTGCAGGCTGCCCTGGCTCTGGCTGCTGAGGGCCTGGTTCGGGGTGTTCCAGTACTCGTGGCGGAGGCGGACGGTGAGGTCGGTCTGGTTGACGTCCAGGTACAGGCCGCGCGAGGTGCGGGCGGGGGCGCCGACGCCGCGCGAGGCGTTGTCGAAGAGCGTGATGGCCGTGTCGTTGTCGCGGAAGCGGGCGTGGTGTTGCCAGGTGAAGTTCGTGGCGGGGCCTGACTCTGCTGCCTCTGCTGCCTCTGCGATCGGTGATGCAGCAGCAGCAGGCCCAGAGACATCGGTAAAGTTATTCCTCTTCCCGCCCAGCCGCCAGAGGATCTCGCCGGAGCGCCCGTCGACGTAGCTCAGACAGTTGGTATACCGCGCCGACACCAGGTAATTGCCGCGGCGGTCCTTGTCGACGCTGTTGATGTGGAAGAAGTCCCAGGGCTCGGCGGCGGAGACGCCCTGGCCGGGCTCGCGGGCGCGCACGACGTCCGCGAAGGCGAAATGCTCCGAGGCGCGCCACTCGAACAGCAGCCGGCCGGTCGCGATGTCCAGCTCCTGGAACGTGCCCTCCCAGATCCAGCCGTCCACGGGGCCGGCCTGCCCGGTCTCGTCGGGCACCCGCGAGAGGTCGGCGCGCCGCCGGTCGTAGCTGGTCAGGAGGGCCGTGTCGTCGCGCGTGATGTGGAACTCGTGCAGGTCGCCGGGGCGGTTCCGCGCCGCCGGGAACGTATACGCTTCTTGATATGAGGAGTCGAGCTTTATTGCTGGCAAGGATGTGCCAGGCGCGGAGAGAGATTTAGAGACTCGTCTCACTTCACACTTCTTTGGTCCTCCCCGGAAGAATCACTCCACTCTATCTAACGGGACAAGGGAGGCGAGACAAGGTAGGGGAAGGCAAAAGTATACTTACCATGAAATACGTGCCCCGCCCGTGCCCACCATCGGCGTCGCTCCCCACCCAGAAGGTCAGATAGTCCTGGCCCCGGTACCGCTGCACGTCCACGTTGTACGTCTGCCCGTACGCCCTCGTCCAGACGAGATGGCCGGCGTGGTCGAGGATCATGGGCCCCGCCCGGTGGACGCTGGCCCCCCGCGGCGCGAGCAGGTAGTATTCGCCGGGATCCTGGCACCGCGGGCTCGTCTGCACCCAGTTCACGGCCAGCCCGACCGTCGTGGTCGACCGGAACAGCTCCGTGGGCCACGAGCCCATGCGGCCTTGGTCGTAGAGTTGCGATTGGTTGTAGGGGCCTTCATCGGCGAGGATGCACGGTAGAAATAGGAGGGGGGTTAGGATGAGGGAGAGGAAGAGGCCCGGCGTCAATGTTAACGTCATCGTCTTCGCTAGGACGGACAGCTACACATTGAGCTGTGGGGTGGTGGTGTGGTATATCAGAGTATACGTAGTCGCATTCCCAGGCCGTTAGAGACAGAAGTCAGAAGAGGAGCTCAAAAACTAGGTACGAACTCGAGGCGGATCTGGAATTCTGGATCTTCATAAAGAACTGGCGGAAGATCCACACTGTGGCGGCCGGCGATTGAAAATCTGTTTGTTGGCTGCCATCCGTGCCCCGAGGATAGGGGGGGGAGGAAGGGCCCACTTGGCTTGAGGTGATAGCGATATGTAACTTATCATACTCATCGTGTGAAAGGTGTCAACAGCATGGGTGATTGATGCATGATGGTGTGGTCCACGCGTGGGACATGAGTGGTTGCCGGTGGGCAATGCGTCTCTCCACTGGATGTGTGACTGGTCGTTGGGATTTTCTGGTTGAGGGGATGACGAATCCCTACTAACGTTAACTGACTAGGTATCGATAAAAATAATCCCATGCGCCTCACGTGAGGTTATCACTCATGAGATGTTCTATTCTGAATCGGTGTCGGGAGACGAGTCTAGCCAGTGTACGAATTACGGGGTTGACACTGGGGGTTTGTTTGTTCTGTCCCAGGTGCACAACTGACATGTCTCCCAATGGCGACTAGGGATAAATCCGAGCAGATATAGACCATCATCTGGGTAAATCACAATGTATGCTGTATTTTCTCTGGTAGTTCAGCTAATCTATCTCAGATGGGGTATGTATGCACGAATTAAAAGATAGACCGAAGAAGTGTCGCCATGATCAAAAGGGGTATCGTTCGTCCGACTGTCTACTTGCTACGCTTGTAGATCTTGGACAGGAAGGCCTCGAAGACCTCCTTCTTCAAGCCCTCGGCCTCGTTGATGCTGTCGATCTTGCCGCGGAGCTCGCCCACCACCTTCTCCTCGTACTCCAGGTAGACCTTCTCCAGGTCGAGCTCCTTGTACAGCGCCTTGACCTTGGCCTCCTGCTCGCTGTCTTTGCGACCGTACGCGGCGTCGAGCACCTTGCGCTGCTCCGCGGTGCACCGCTGGATGGCCTGGTTCACCAGCCAGGAGCACTTGTTGTCCTGGATATCGGTGCCGATCTTGCCAATGACGGCCGGGTCACCGTAGGCGTCGAGGAAGTCGTCCTGGACCTGGAAGTACTGACCCAGAGGGATCAGGATGTCGTGGGCCTGGCGCAGGTTCTCGGGGGTCGCTAGCTGGAGGTAGTGCAGGGCCAGCGCCACGGGGAGGTAGAAGCTGTAGTAGGCGGTCTTGTAGGTGACGATGAACATGTACTTCTCCATGGAGAAGTTGTCCAGGTTGACATTGTCCTCGGGGGCGGTGATCAGATCGCACAGCTGGCCCAGCTCGGTCTGGTAGGTGATCTCGTGGAACAGCTCGACGAAGTCAATGTAGGCGGGGTGGGAGCGGAAGTATTTCTTCAGGATGATGTAGATGCCGGACTCGAGCAGGAAGGCGTCGTTGATCGCGATCAGGCCGACTCCATCGTGGCGGTACCAGCAGGGCTGGCCACGGCGGGTGATGGAGCTGTCCATGATGTCGTCGCTGACCAGGAAGAAAGCCTGGAGCAGCTCCGTGAGCCAGCCGAGCATGCTCAGATGCTTGAACTGCTCCTCGCTCAGGGGCTGCTTCAGGAGCGCCAGAGCGGTATCGGGGACGGAAAGACCGCGGTTGAGTTTTCCGCCAGGAACATTGACGTTGAGGTTCTATGCGCGAGGCAGCGACAACAATTTAGTGAGTCTCCTGGAATCCACCACGAGATAAGGTGGATTTCCGGCTGGACGACATACCTTCTCAAACCATTCCAGCGCATTCTGGGGCAGGTTGTACTGCTTCGCCGAGTTCAGGAGATCTTCGCGAATTGTGGGGAAGATAGCCTCGAAAGAGGCACGGCTGGTGGTGGAAGGCATTGTGCGAAAGTATCACTGTGAACAGCGAGCGAGGAGAGAAGGGAAGAGAAGGAGAAAGGTAGAGAAAGAGAAAAGAAAGTCAACAACAATAGTTGAGCAGTGG